ATATGTTGCATGAGATTTGGCACGACTTGCTCGGCTTTTGTGATCAGTTTGCCGTCATATATTGCTCTGTGGGAGCGGTGCACTTGGACACGGTGCACTTGGACACAGCCAATCACAGCACCGTGTGATTAGAGACATTTGTAGGAGACCTTTGGAACAGCGACTTGTGATTGGACTGTGTCCAATTGCCCCATGTCCAACTGATATACACTATGCTTGCTCGGCACGTCTTGTTCGCTATTTGCTGCAAATTTGTTATCACATATTGCTCGGCACGATTTGCTCAGTTTATGCTATCAATATGCCGTCATACTACTAATGATAGCTTGTCCGGTTTTTGTCAGCAGTTTGCTATCACACTTGCTAACAGGTCGTGTCGCAATATTGCACACATTTTGCCGACATTACTTGATATAGCAAATCGTGCTGCAATTTTGTCGTTATTCTGTTGATAAAACTTGCAGCACGCTTTGCCGAAATTTGCTTTTGGCACGTTTGGCTATCAGGGGAGTAATTTTTCCGAATCCTTGCAGTCGTCATACTTATACCATTTTCCATTTTTGCGGTAAGATATTGCCGTATAGTGCTCTATGGACTCTGTTAATTGTCTGGTGTGAACAATCGGAGATTTAAAATGTATCACTCCATTTAATTTATATGTTTCCTCTATGAAAGAGAACTTAAGCTCTTGTGGGATGTTTCGTAGCTCGAGTTGTTGTTCCTCCTTATATATATCATATACTTCAAGAATAATAATAGGACCTGTGAATTGGATTATTTATGTTAAATAATACGAGAAGATGCACATACGTTTATGTTAAAATAAAAAGAAATCTAATGAATTATCAGAATACCTGTATAAGAAACAACTGTTGTTTCTTGGCCATTACAACCCTCTTGGCAACACGGTCGTATTCCTTGAATAAAAGTTGCATTTTCCATTGTTGTAAATTCTTTATTTTTTAGATGTTCCAGTTCAACTTGTACGATGGGTAATATTTTCTTCCTAGGGAGACAACCGCTACTACATCTAGATACTTCTTC